TTGGGGAAACTTCGCTGGGAGGGAGCGAGACCGGATGCTCGACGGGATGAAGCCGTGGAAATAGCTTGGGGAAATAGCTTGAGGAAACTTCGCTGGGAGGGAGCGAGACCGGATGCTGGACGGGATGAAGCCGTGGAAATAGCTTGGGGAAACTTCGCTGGGAGGGAGCGAGACCGATGCTGGACGGGATGAAGTCGTGGAAATAGCTTGGGGAAACTGCGCTGGGAAGGAGCGAGACCGGATGCTGGACGGGAAACCGTGGAAAATAGCTTGGGGAAACTTCGCTGGGAGGGAGCGAGACCGGATGCTCGACGGGGATGAAGCCGTGGAAATAGCTTGGGGAAACTGTGCCGGGAGGGAGCGAGACCAGATGCTGGACGGGATGAAGCCGTGATAGCTTGGGGAAACTGCGCTGTGGGAGGGAGCGAGACCGGATGCTGGACGGGATGAAGCCGTGGAAATAGCTTGGGGAAACTTCGCTGGGAGGGAGCGAGACAGCACGCTGGACGGAAAGGAAACCGTGCAAATATAGCTTGCGGAGAGCTTCGCTGGGAGGGAGCGAGACAGCATGCTGGACGGGACACAAAACAGTGGCAATAGCTTGCATTGAGCCTCGCTGGGAAGGAGCGCGACAGCATGCTGGACGGAGAGGAAATAACGTGCAAATAGCGTGTGGAGAGCTTCGCTGGCAGGGAGCGAGACATGCTGGACGGACAGGAAACGTTGGAAATAGCTTGCGGAGAGCTTTGCTGGGAGGAAGCGAGCCAGCATGCGGGACGGAGAGGGAACAGTGCAAATAGCTTGCGGAAAGCTTCGCCGGGAGGGAGCGAGACAGCATGCTGGACGGAGGGGAAACAGTGGAAATAGTTTGGGGAGAGCTTTGCTGGGAGGAAAGCGTGGAAATAGCTTGGGGAGATCTTCGGTGGGAGGGACCGAGACAGCATGGCTTTTGCACACAGAATCTTGTACACACAGACGCGTTCACACACAGGAGGTTTTATACAAACAGAAGACTTTACGGCGCGCAGAACTTTTATATACATAGAGCAGCTTTTACGCAGCGAAGCTTGTACACACAGGACAAAGGGGAGCTTTTTTACACAGAAGCTTTTACATAGGGTTTTTTTAATACACAGAAGCTTTTACACACAGAAACCTTTACACACAGAAGCTTTACACACAGAAACTTTTACACACAGAAACTTGTACACACAGAAGCTTTTACACAAGCCTTTACACAATGGAGCTTTTACACACAGACAGGTTTACACAGAGGAGTCTTTACGCACGGAGGCGTTTACACAGGAAAGCTTTTTCACACAGAAGCGTTTACACAGAGTAGTTTTTACGCAGAGAAATCTTTACACAAAGAAATCTTGACACAGAGAAGCTTGCACACACACACACAGAGGCTTTTACACAGAGAAGCCTTTTACACAGAGCAGCTTTTTCACCGAGGAGCTTTTACCCAGAGGAACTTTTACACAGAGAAGCTTGTACACTCAGAGGCTTTGACACAGAGAAGTCTTTTACACAGAGAAGCTTTTGCACACAGAAGTTTTACACAAACAAAATCTTAACACAGAGGAGCTTTTACATACAGAAGCATTTATGCAAAGAATCTTTTGTACAGAGAAGTCTTTACCCATTTTTCATCATGTCTCATTTTTCACTATCATTCACCACCTATCACCTTCATATCTTCGTTTTCATGCTCTTTTGGTCAGCTCCCTCCGTCGTTTAGTTTTCATTTTGCACGGTGTTCTGTCCGTCGACGCTTCGTCCTCGCTCCCTCTGCGGCGAAGCAAACTAAACGAGAACGCAGGAATTATAGCGGCTAAAAAGATGGGATAGAGTTAATTACATTAGCAGAAATAGCGACTAGAAGAATGTAGACGTAGCTGACACAGCATGCTGTGGTGAATTGCGGCCCCTGATACCATCAGCGCGCACGATGTTTCAGTAAAGATCTTACGTCGATTTCGTGCAGAGCACACACCACAAGATTTTCAAAAAAATCGTGCTGTGTGCCGTCTTGCTTTTGGGTTCTCTGGCCCACCTTGTTTCAAAATAAACTGGGCCAGACTTTCACATATCAAAGTGACGTGGATGCAAGCCGGGGTTGCGGCCAGTTTGCCTAGTCATTGGTGCGGTACATCTGCCTTACTCGGGCCGTGCTTATCACATACAAGCTTGCCTTGGCAATCATCTGCAGGCAGCTTGCTGTGGTGCCAGCAACAAAAATGTCCTGGCAATGCCGTCAGAAGTCAGAACTTGAAAACAATCTGCACAAGATGCTCTAACTTGTCTCTGAGTCTTCAATGTAGTTTGCTTCTGCTTTGGCAGTCTCTGATGGATCTGATCTATACATCTCCGCTGTTGGTCCTGCAAGGGGCTATAAAATAGCTGTTGAAGGCACTTTACCACCTGACCGAAAAAATGCGTTCCAAACTTCCAAACGCGTCACGTTTCAAGCTGTGGTACGACTGGTTAGATGAAACATCGGGTCATGTGATGAGTTCAGCAATCTCTCACATAGCCCCGATGTGCGGGGCGGTCGCAAAGACTGCAACAATGAGCGCGCCTCTTTGATAGCCTGACGTTTCCAAGAGAGTACATTTTTTCTCTTGTAACGATATGCAGTTGGCAGATGCGATCTCGTTTCAGGCTACAATACATTCAGGCTACAACACAAACTGGTGAAGGGACCAGTTGAAAGTATATAATAAGTTTGCAGCATCTTGTGGCCCGTATCTCCACACTTTGCTTGTTCGATGTGTCCATCTTAACTAATAACACAGACACACTGGAACTGAATATGACTTGTATAGGTGACATGCACAATTCAACATGCTATGATTGTGCCAAGATGTGCCAAGCTTGCCTGTGGGTGAGCAACATCGAGCTCGTGGAAGAATGGATGAAGCGTCAGCAGGGGAACGCCAAGCTGACCTCAAATCTGGTCAAAGAATCATATAGAGTATGCAAGCAGTGCAAGCAGCAAAAACACAGGAATCGTAGGGGTATAAAATGCACATGTAAGATCATGTCGTAAGTACGAATATGTACGAATTAAATGCGTATAAAGATGTATAGATGCCTTTATAGCTCAAGACAACTCTAAGTTTCTGGATCAAACTACAAGCATCTTCCAGAACTGGTCAGTGAACTCCCGCCACAGGGAGAAGACATGAGAAGACCTTCCTAGAAATCCATAATATGCAAGCAGAAACGTCGAACAAATTCAAACAACATATTCATAATATGCAGCCGCCCACGGTAAGGGTGAAGCTCATAAACTCCTAGCATCAACATCTCGCAATGTCTCGCAATTAATTATATGCGACTATTCTGCACTTCAGTTCCACCTTCCTGTGCTTTTCTGTGCTTTTCCGGTATGGCTTTTTGTATCTTTGTACTGGCAGCTTCAGGAAGCAAAGGTTCAAACACTCAATCCATTCCACTCCTGTTGCACCATGGGTGGTAGCGCATGCAGCGGTGAGGCTTGCACCGCCTCAAACTGGCAATCCAATCGCATTGCGACTGTACTGACCGCGCTAGCTTGGATTCACCGAATTTGAACCTTGTGGAAAGGAGATACAATGTAGATCAGTGTACAGGGAGGCACAAGGGTGGATCTTGAAACATCTTGAAACATTTCGAAACATTTTGAACAAACAACTGGAGAACTCCACACCTGCAAAGGCGAAGGCACTGCCAGGCTGCGGGGACCTTCAGGGCAGGGATCCACAGCTCAAGCCACGACCAGCACCGAGAGATACCGAGAGATACCGAGAGATACCGAGAGATACCAGGAGATACAGAGAGTAGCGAGATATAGCGAGATATAGCGAGATATAGCGAGATGCATTGAGAGTACCAAGAATCAATGAGAAGGGCCAAAAAAGTGCGAGAAGGGCCGAACCGCCTGCAGACTTTTCTCTCTAAGATCTATCGAATCTAAATCCATCTGCTCCATCCCGGGCCTTTCCATCCTTGGAAATCCGGTCGCAATGAGCGAGGCTCTGGCTGGTTCTCCAACCAACTGGCCCAAAGCAAAGCTGTGAAAGAAAGGATGGCCAAGGGCTAAGCAAAGCGAAAGATTCATTATTGACTTGTTGAGGTATGCAATAGGTACGCATGTTGCAAGGACAACGAAAGGGAAGACCATGGAACAACGACTATCTCCATCGGCATCAGAATATATCAGAATGACAAATGTTCGAATCTCTGCACCTCCAAATGTGATGACGCAGGCTTGTTGCTGGCCGAGGGCCTGCCGCCACAAGCATGGCGTCTGCCACAGTCTGCCACAGTCTGCCACTTTGCACTTGGTCTGAAGACATTGCAGGACTTCTTGATGTTGAGCTTTCCAAGAAATTGCACCCGCTGCCTTCAGCAAGATACGCTCGACATGTCATTTGACGCCTGCAAAGGATTGCAAAGGTCTAAGTGATTGATAGATTTGATAGCCTTAATGCGCGCAATACAAACGAAAGGTCAAGCGGTCAAGCTACAAGAGTTCCGAGACAAGAGGTCCGCCCTACGCGAGGAAATACAAAGCTCCCTCAAACAAAAGCTTTGGACGGGTGCAAACAGAGGACCACCAACTGCAAACGGATTCAAAGGGATTCAAACCCAGGCGCAATGCACAAATGGCACCGAGATGCACCGAGGTAAATCCGAGGCAGCCTTGGCCAATCACCTTGCAGCTCTCGAAGGCGAAGGACAGTCCCTGCGAATGCAGCGGTGCTTCGTCCGGAAACTCTGATTGTTCTGAGCTTGGCCAGAAAGGATGCTAAAGCATCGGATGATAAGTAGAGAAGCAATATACAAGTACGGTACATATTGGTACACAAGTTGCACAATCTTACACATTCTCTATATTCTGCATCATATAAATTCACATGATATACTGCCAATCTGTGACATATCCCTTTCACCATCCAATCAACACACGGTCTGTTTGAACACGGACCTGTCACTTGATGCAGTAGGAAAATGCAACCTGCTAAAGCCAGTACCTTGGCTGAAGCATCGAACGTGCAGCTCAGTGCAACAACTCACATCCATGTGATCCACGTGCTTACATTGCTTATATTGACATGGCATTGACATGGCTCACATGAACCACACTGGTGAAGACGAAGTCTTGAAGGCTCCTGAAAACGGAGCATGTGAGACCAACGAAGCTTGGGGATACTGAGAGGGCACACATCAGCGGCGTGTTTTTGAAGGGAACAAGCGTGTACTTGTGTGAAACAAAACTGTTGTTGTTAGTCAATATCGATCAGAAACAGTGCTGAAACAAATGGAAAACATTCCAGTGGGAAAAGAAACACATGTTGCAAAACTTTGCTCCAACGCAGACTTGAAAGAGGTTCCATCCATGTTTTTTGTGCAAACTTTCCCTTGGATTCCCTTGGATTCCCTTGAAGGGCCGAATTCTGGCGACAGGCGATGGGGTCCTGGGGTTCGCCGGACTCGGTCCAAGTCCTGGCGTAAGCTGCGCCAAGGCCTCGCATGCACGGTCCCAAGGTGCATCATCCTGCTGCCAAAATGAAATGGATTCATAACGAATAACCATGTACATGTAAATATATAATTATATATATAATTATAGATATCATTATAAAAATCTACAGAAGGCATATATACATATGCCTAAATATGTCTACATATTTCTGTATTTCTGCACCCATGTATATAATTGTATTTATGAATGAATGAATGAATTAATGAACGAACGAACGAATGATTTGAATGATGTATGTAAATGTGTATATATACATGTATATATATATATGTATATATGTATATATGTATATATATATGTATATGTAGATGTATATATATATATATGTAGATGTATATGTAGATGTATATATATATATGTACATATATAATTATATAAATTATATGTGTATATATATAGTTATATGTGTATATATAAATGATTATGTATGTATGTATGTATGTATGTATGTATGTATGTATGTATGTATGTATGTATGTATGTATATATATCTATATATGTATGTATGTATGTATGTATGTATGTATGTATGTATGTATGCATGCATGTATGTATGTATGTATGTATGTATGTAGTTATATGTGTACATATTTATTTGTATATATATATGATTATATATGGACGTATATAAATATATATTGTATATTATACATATATTCTGTATATTATATATAGATTGTATACAATTAGATTATATATATATATTATAATATATATACAGTATATATATATTATATTGTGTAATATATATGTATATATATATATATACATAGCATGCATGAAATTCAATATCACTCAGCAATATTTCAATAACAGTCTCATCAAGATCATCAAGGCCTCTTTGCCTTGTCAGTTGTATGTTGTCAGTCCTTTGAATCGTACATAGTCAGTTTAGCAGGCAGCTTCGTGAGGCTTGTGGTCTGGTGTGGTGTGTGTCGATGTCTGGGGACCCAACCCAAACAAGGGCTGAGAAATACCTGCAGTGGGTGCAGGGCCGCATGAATCTGGGGCCATAGGGCCAGAGTGTTGAACTCGCAACTGTTTTTTTCTGGATGAAAGAGTCTTGTGTCTTAACATGTCTTGACCGTTTTTTTGACCGTATTGCAAGTTTGATGCAAATCGAACCCCAGCAGTTCATGATAAGTTTGCCACTGGTTCGAACCCCAGCAGTTCATGATACTTTGCCACTGGTTCTTCCAGAAATGTAGCCCACTGGACCCCCTAGACAAGGAACATGTACAAACAAACAGGCCGGAACGGAGTGGCAGAAGACATTAAGGATTGTTTGGCACAAGTCAAATGGATTCAAATGGACGTTTGGAACGATGCAATGACTGAAAAACCTACGGCCAATATCTGCTAGGATGCATCAAAATCTTGTCCTCCTGCTGCTGCGTTTGTGCGTACTCCTCCGATCGCTTTCAACTATCCCGAGCGCGGAGGAGTAGATTCTACCAGTCTCTCTGTACCTTTCTTTGAAGAAACAAGTGACAAAGCTGTTCGCTCCTGCATGTTATATTATTGTCTTCACGTTTAAGTGACTCAGACAATTTAACAGTCCTGAAATGTCCTCAATCAAATAGTCTCAAATCGTGCAGATACCCAGCTCAGAGTGACTTCTGTCTCCTCCAGCCACGTATCTGCATTGCCTCCTGTTGTGGAGCCCAAGTAGTACAAGGCACACGCAATGATGTGGGCCTGAATGGAGGACGTCCGAACCCATTCAAATGGCTCAATGCCAGAGACTGTCGGAGACTGTCAGAGACTGTCAACATGGAGATGATAAAAGGAGACACTGAAGCCACAGCTTTTTGGAAGAGATTGCTCCAAACAAATTGCGAGATATTTCAAGCAAATCAAGCAATGCCCTTGTTTGCTCCTTGAGTTCTTAGGTTCGGACGCCAATCAGTAGGAAGAGGACGCTCACGGCCTCGAGTGTGGTGCTTTCCGTAAGCTCCAACAGACTGGCTCAAAGCCACTGAAGGATCATGAAAGAACACCCACAGCAACAACTCCAAACAATTCCATCTGCTCATGTTTGCTCTACATTTCTGCTCAACCCAACTCAGTCTGTCCTGCCTTTTCTGTGGCATGTTCAGATATGTTCAGAATGTTCAGATATGTTCAGATATGTTCAGATATGTTCAGATATGTTCAGCATCTTTATTTCACCAATCTGTTCGAATTCTCAACTGCTACTTGAGAGGGAAGGGTGAAAGATCGAAAGGTAGGCGTGGGTTGGAACAGGAGAAGAGAGCAAGGGAACGAGGCATATCCGCTGCGGACGGACGTGGGTGGAGTTGGGGCGGATATCGAAAAAAGTCTTCTGGGCTTGGACTCGAGGGCGGGTACCAAAAAGGTAGGTTTCAGGGAGGGGGGACACGACACACACACAGACACACAGACATATATATATAAATACATACATATAGTTAGATATATGTATAAATATCAGGTTATGGGGTTTGCGAGGCAACGTGTAACTGGGGGCAGCACATTGTTGCAACGCGGATGGGGTTGATTCTGGTGTGTACATGTGTAGAACAGTGTGGGATTCACAAACGTGGTGTTTTGACCCCAGCATGTACCCAAAGCAACTGACTTAGGGCTATCCTGGTGCTGGAATCTTGGTGCAAAAAGTGGGCCCGCGGGGTGACTTCTTGCAAACGCGGCTTTAGAGGCGGACCTTGGGGGAATCGAAGGGGGGGGTTCAATATAGTTGTGATAATTATGTTCTAGTTATTATAGTAATTCTAGTGATTATAGGTGTTCTAGTTATTATACATGATAACTATATATATACGAATATACATATATATGAAACATATTGAAATGTCATTAGCGAAGTCTTTTGGTTGAAGAGAATATCTTGGAGGAACCCTTGCGGAAAATCCACCAAATGATCTAGATATGCTGAGCAAGGGGCAGCGATTATGCTTCGGCAACCACTAGCCAAAGCGCAATATCCCACAATTGCTGGGTAGAGTATGCATATATATATATATACGAATCTATATGTATATTGAGATTATTTAGTATATATATATATATATATCATGGAATTATTATGTGTATATATATATATATAGATACATATCTTTAACTATATTGTCGAAGGAAGTTGAGAAGCTAAACTTCCGACAATATGGACAGATGAAAAGCAGAGCAGGGCAGAGGCAGAGAGAAGAGAAAGTTCAGAAGAGAAAGAGTCAGAAGAAAGAAGATGCAGATGCGCGAAAAGGTAGGAAAGTCGCGATTCACTGTGTTTTTCCAATGATTTGTGGTTCCGGAGGGTCGAAAAGTAGGCTCGCTAAAGCGGCGGGTGCGGAGACATATGGGGAGATGAGACATGAAAAATTGCACGCCGTTGTGGCGCGAAGCACATTTCCAAGTCAAAATGCACAAAACACCAGAGGATCGGACCACTTTTGGCGCTTCAGATGTCGAAAAAGTGCACGCCGTTGTGGCGCGAAGCACATCCCCAAGTCAAAATGTACAAAACACACCAGGGTCTGACCACTTTTGGAAGTTGCGATGTCGAAAAAGTGCACACCGTTGTGGCGCGAAGCACATGTCCAAGTCAAAATGTAGAAAACACACCAAGTGCGGACCACTTTTGGCACTTAAGATGTCGAAAAAGTGCACGCCGTTGTGGCGCGAAGCACATTTCCAAGTCAAAATGTTAAAAACACTAGGGGTTCGGACCACTTTTGGAGGCTCAGAGGTCGAGTTTCGAAAAAGTGCACGCCGTTGTGGCACGAAGCACATTTCGAAGTCAAAATGTGCAAAACACCAGGGGTTCGACCCACTTTTGGAGGCTCAGAGGTCGAGTTTCGAAAAAGTGCACGCCGCTGTGGCGCGAAGCACATTTCGAAGTCAAAATGTACAAACCACACCATGTTCGGACCACTTTTGGAGGCTGAGATGTCGAGTTTCGAAAAAGTGCACGCCGTTGTGGCGCGAAGCAGATTTGGAAGTTAACATGTTAAAAACACTAGGGTTTCGGACCACTTTTGGCGGTTCAGATATTGCTTCGCTTAACTCGACTACACTACATGACACTACACTTTGCTGCACTACACTACATTACACTACATTACATTACACTACACTTCACAACACTACAGGTTACAACTACAACTACACAACTACAGTCCACTACAGTCCACTACACTAAATTACACTGCACTACACTCTCTACACTACACTTCACTACATTACACTACACTACACTCCACTACACTACAAATACAACTACACCTACCCAACTACACTCCACTACACTACAAATACAACTACACCTACCCAACTACACTCCACTACACTCCACTACACAACATTAAACTACACTACACTACCTTACACTACACTACACTCCACAACACTACAACTAAAACTACACAACTACACTCCACTACAATACACTACCTTACACTACACTACATTACACTACACTAGACTCCACTACACTACACTACATTACACTACACTACACTACCTGCCGCTACACTTCACGACGCTACTCTACACTACACTCCACTACCACCTACAACTACAACTACACTCCACTACATTACACTACATTACACTACACTACATTACACTGAATGACACTGCACAAAAGATAGACAGGTAGACAGCTAGACAGGTAGACAGCTAAGACAGATAGATAGATATGATAGATAGATAGATAGATAGATGGATAGATAGATAGATAGATAGACAGATAGACAGATAGACAGATAGACAGATAGATAGATAGATAGATATGATAGATATGATAGATATGATAGATATGATAGATATGATAGATATGATAGATATGATAGATATTATAGATATGATAGATATGATAGATATGATAGATATGATAGATATGATAGATATGATAGATATGATAGATATGATAGATATGATAGATAGATAGATAGATAGATAGATAGATAGATAGATAGATAGATAGATAGATAGACAGATAGATAGATAGATAGAGGGATAGAGGGATAGATAGATAGATCGATAGATCGATAGATCGATAGATCGATAGATCGATAGATCGATAGATAGATAGATAGAGGGAGAAATAGATGGATAGATGGATAGATGGATAGATGGATAGATGGATAGATGGATAGATGGATAGATGGATAGATGGATAGATGGCTAGATGGCTAGATGGATAGATGGATAGATGGATAGATGGATAGATGGATAGATGGATAGATGGATAGATGGATAGATAGATAGATAGATAGATAGATATGATAGATAGATAGACAGGTAGACAAGAGTGAGAGAGATCAATCGCCTTTCAGTCCAGCAGTGGCTTCGCTCTGCCATCTCTGATTCACAACAACCAATCTCTCCTATAGGGTTCCTATTTTTGAAACTTCCGCCACCGCCTTGTGCGGTACTACTGGTATATCATGTACGATTTTTGAGACTACTGCAACGCAGTCCGTCGCAACGTTCTTGCTACGACATTGTTCATCGCGGTTAGGGTGAACGAAACAAAGTTCTTGAGCAATCTGACATTGTCGAGTTTCAGTGCGGGTCTTGACTTCGGTTGGGGTGGGGATGTATGTAAACGTGGTGGATGAAAGTGCATGTGCGGCTGTTGGCGTTTCCTTGTAGTCCGCCTATGTTGCAAACCCGGCTTTAGAGGCGGAACTGGGGGGAATCGAAGCCCCCCCCCCCTTGAAAGGCGGACCGAGACATAACCGGCCCAAACTCTTGCACTTGCACCGCTCGCCCCCTAATACTTGCTACGCAAGGGGGAACTCAGGTAGCTCACCGCTACCTTTCGAGACATTCATTGAAGATCTTCAAAGAATGTAGAAGTTTGACGGGGGTGGGAGAATTAAACCCTTATTGAAGATCTTCAATGAATGTAAAAGTTTAACGGGAGTGGGAGACTGAAACCCTTATTGAAGATCTTCAATGAATGTAGAAGTTTAACGGGGGTTGGAGAATTAAACCCTTATTGAAGATCTTCAATGAATGTAGAAGCTTAACGGGGTTGGGAGAACTAAACCCTTGCTGAAGATCTTCAATGAATATAGAAGTTTAACGGGGGTGGGAGAATTAAACCCTTTCTGAAGATCTTCAATGAATGTAAAGTTTAACGGTGGTGGGACCCTAATACCTTTGTTGATCTTCCCAATTGAATGTAAGGTTTTAATATTCCCTAATACCTTTGTTGATCTTCCCAATTGAATGTAAAGTTAAACGGGGGTCGGATTTTAGTATTCCCTTATACCTGTCTGTGTTGATCTTCCCAACTGAATGGGGGTGGGATTTTGATATTATCTAATACCTTTGTTGATTTTCTCAATGGAATGCAGAGTTGCAACAACATTTGATTGGGAATGGGGACCCTCTACACTGCAACGCCTGGGCAAAGCCCAGGCGTTGCCTGTATATATACATATCATATTGTTATTACACTGTATAGTAAATATATACAATATAATATATATATATATTAGTATGTATATGTATATATATATATATGTATTATTACATATATATTCTTGTATTTATATATCATTATATTTACATATTATTATTTATATATATATATTTATTTATTTATTTAGTTATTATATCATATATATATATATATTAATATTACTATATTTAAATATATATATATATACATACTATTATATGTATTATTAAACGTATTATTATTGATATTATTAAATTATATATATATTATTGAATATGTTCTGTATCTGTATATATCTAATTAAATACATTATTATATATATATACTAATATATTTAAAAATTATTATGAAATATATTCTCTATATTATCATTTATATATACTGTATTTTTGTTAAATATACATATATTACTATTCTGTTAAATATGTACATATGATTAAATATGTATATTATTATACAATATCTATTAGTATTATTATT